AAATCTGAATCCAACAACACCAAGATCACTCGAATCTGACACCGCTTACCCCTTCATCTCAAGACCCAAAACCGAAACCGATTCCAATCGTCCGATCGGGATCATCTCTTATCCTAAATGCTAACCCCCATAAAATCTGATATCTAACCTTATAGATGGATAAATCTCGAAATTCTGAGTCCGACGGTACCAAGATTGTCCAATTCCGACACTGTTAGCCCCTCCATCTTGAGACCCAAAGCTAGACTCGATCTGGGCCCTCCGTTTAGAATCCTTTTCACAATAACTTCGAACCTAGGGCATTCCACAACCCAAACTTCCTCTCAGCCTCTAGAAACATCTTAAAAATCTAAAGATTTGACCAGCTATAGCTTCCAATCAATCAAGCCAATCACCTAAACTTGGAATGTCTAGTTTAGGTAAATTGGTGAAATATTTCACTCTTTGTCTTGATTGATTAAGAGAATCTCTCACAAAGCTGTCTTGACAGCCCATTATCTCAATCAATCTCCCTCCAAAAACCATTCAAACATCAGCCATTGATCTCCCTTATCTTTCATTTCAGCCATCCATTCCCCTCTCAAAAAATCTATAAATACACACAAGAAAGCCCTTTTTCACATCCAAGACACACAAGAAAGTCTAGAGAACTTACAATCACAAGTGTGGAGAATACCCCCTTTACGTCCCAAGTAGCGCCAAGCCCCCCCACCACGTCCAAGACATGTCTTCACTCTCCCTCTCCCTATCCCAAACTTCCTAAGCCTGAAGAATGCTATTCCCGTACTCTTGCCCTTGCCCCAATCCAATTTGAAGCAAGAAAACTTACTCGGGTTGTAGTCATATTCATGAAGAGGAAGCTGAAGCTTGTCTGAATTCTACGAAATGGTGTAAGGAGCTTGCAGATTTCCAGCAGCATTTCATATTTATTGGGCAACATTCCACATTCAAAGATAATATGCTTGGAACAAGAAGAGTTCTGTGGCGAGAAGAATCTATGCGGCGCCTCTCCTTCATCTCTGGAATGCGTTAACAAGTTAGTATAAATGACATCTTACTCAATTCTCATGCTGAAGCCTCAAAGTAGAAATGTATGTCTATGAAAGCTTCCACTGCACTTCTTATCGAAAATTTTCAGATTTTATTATCATGAGTATGACAATCTTTGAAATAGTTAATTCGGTCTGTTAATTGCATTAAAAAATCTCTATTACAGTGGTTTTGATCATCTCTATCCTTCTGTCTACTTTAGAACTTCCTCTAGGTGCTTCATCTTAATTTGGTATTTGTTATAATTAATTTATAATGGATAGATCTCCATACTCAAGTTTTTTTAGATTAACTTTCTTAGGTACCGATATTTTTCTTAGTTTTCTCCATTAGAGATGTTAAAAGCAATATAGGATCTTCTCATCACATCATATTAGTGATTAATTTATTTTGTTTTTTTATATTGCATGGTCCCATCATTCCCATCCTTTTCAATATTTCAATTTTTTTTTTCTGTTTTCTTTTCTCATAAGCTCAATCACTTTAGCATTTTTTATAGATCTCCACTTGTTAACTTTGCTTGACATTTGTGAAGCCCAATAGACCGCTTAGAATTCCACCTTAATACCCAACTCATTTAACAAATCCCCCCCCCCATTCACCTGGGCATTAGTCTCTTTTTTTTGGCATATCTAGCGGGCCATTTAATTCATTTACTGTTTTAGGTTTTCGTTACATTGATAATTGCCTCATGTCCCTTTTCATATTAATGTTTGATTATCTTGCCTTCTTTGGTTCTCTTTTTATAGATAACTTTTAATCTTTCTTCCGATGTTCCATTTATATTTAAGTTTATTTTTTTAGTTGATAATCACTGATTTACTATAGTTAACTTTTCTTCTTTTTTGTCTTCAATTATTTGATTTTCCTAGTCATTAATTGATAGTTTTTTTTTGTTTGTGAAAATTAGTGTGTGGTAATCTTTTTATTTTAAGCCCAAAAATTGAAAAATCTTCTTTGGAACATTAGTGAAGTAGAGGCCGGTTCAATCAGGCGTGTGTGGAGTGCCTAATTGAGGGCTTTTATAGGGGCGTTCTTGTTAGGTCGGGCATAACCGCCACTGGGCTCCTGTCACAGCCGTTACCTGTCAGGGCTGCGCAGGTGGCCGTTGTGACGTACTTCTCACCTGGGTGAGTGACACGTCTCCAAAGTGGCAGGCACGCCTCCGCCTGCTGAGAGACGTGGACACAGATTGTCGAAAGGACAGGGACTGCGCTGTCATTAAGGGATGTGGCGCAGTCCGATCGGTACGGCCTGTCAGATAGAAGCTTCTTGAGGAATGCTCATGCGGCTCATTCATGAGCTACTTTGTAGCGAACTCGGAATACTTCAGGATTACCCTTAATAGAATTGGCCCTTGGGATGACTTGTCTGCTTGGGAGCTCGGGCGGGCTAGTTCCCCTAGCTCACGAGTTAAAGTTGCCTCGGAGTATCCCTTCAAAGGTAGCTCGGGGAACCCGGAGCTCGCGTTGTGGCGATCTCCTCCTTTTGTGAGCTACAATGTAGCGAGCTGCTTTATGGGCCCGTCACTTGGTCGCACTAGGCTACAATGCTGAGCTGTCGCTCATGCTGAGTCAGTGTCCGCGTGTCACCGTTTCATAGGTCGGGTCAAATCGTCCTCCATCAATTATTATTAATATCATCATCATCATTATTATTATTATTATTATTATTATTATTATTATTATTATTATTATTATATCCATGCAATACATGGGTCACAATAGACTCGTACAATACATGCATCGGGTTACACAAACTTGTCTTTTCAAAATCAGGTTTACTGAAAACGGGTCATAGTAGATTTGTATTGATCGTCTTCTTTGCTTGGACAGTAAAACGGGTCATGCGTCAACTCAATTATTTTTTCATTATTTTAATCTTTTTAGTTGTTTTTATAAACTTTTCTTTTTCAAAAATTTATACATTTGTTCACAAAAAATAAGAGGTTTGACCTCCTACCTGATGTTTGGAAGTGTTTGAAAGTTGGATGAAAATCTAAATCACTAAAATATAGCTATAGTCGGTACAACTAAAACATTTGCAACCTAGAAGAGTTTGAAACTTAGAAGGGTTTGAAACTTGGAAAAGTTTGAATATGCTCAACCAAAAAAATACCTTCAAGGTTGAAAAACCTGCAACTTTTAAAGAGATTGGAACTTGGAAGAAAACCACCAGTAAAAAATGAGATGACAAGAGAACGAAAGGAGGTTGTGTAAACCTGAGATGGTTAAAACATTTGAAACCTACAATGGCTAAGATGTTTGGTACATGCAATGGTGTCTTTAGTTTCTTAAAGGTGTGAGAATTGGGTTTAAGATGTTTGAAAGAGAAGAATGAAAGAGTGTAAGAGTTGAGACGTTTGGTCTCCTAAAAGTGTCTTTGGGAACCCATACGTAATGGTATGTTCAACTTGAATTTTACCAAATCAACATTGTTTAACAAAATAGTGGGTTTTTAGGAAATCTAGAAGACTAGAATTATAAATAGAGCAGAGTCACAATTTGAATGGTTCAACCAATGTGGGTGGTTAAACCGTTCAATCAAGGAACCGAAAGGCATTTCATTTTTTTTAATCCTAGTTTTTATATTTTTAAACCTAAGACCTTAAACTTATACCTATAAGTGCTAAACCATTATTATATCATTGATTTTATGAAATTTTGCAACTCACGATCAAACTGTTTGACCCAATGATCAAACCATTTGACTTGTGACCTGACATACATTCTAGTTTTGTTTTTGGTCCAAGTCTTAAAACATTGGATAATTCAACTATCCAAGTCAATGACGAGTTGAAAACATAGAATAAAACAACATAAAAATTAGAATACATTTATATTCCATTCAAAAATGATAAACATTAATTGACCATAGTAAAAATAATTTACTGCTTAAATAAAATAAAAATAATTATTAATTGTAATTATTGATATAATGTTTTTATAAGATACTAAAAATAAAGTAATTCATAAAAAGTAATAAGATAAATTAAAAACTAATATCCATTTAAAATTAACATAAAACTAATACAAAATTATCTAACAATTATTAGTTGATAATTAATTTCTACTAATTTAAAACCAGCTTGAATTCCACTAAAAATAAAATCATAATATAATTAATTAAAGTTAGTAAGGATTAGTAAAAATAAAAATAATAAAATTTTATTAATTTTAAGTATAGTTTAATTAATTTAAAATCAATTTAAATTTCATTTAAAATAGGAAAAATTATAAAACCTCCCTAGGCTTTCCAACAATCCTATGAACGTCCCCTATGTTTTGACCTTAAAAAAATCTCCCCATATTGTTTTGAAAAAAAAGATGCAAATACCTCCTTAGCATTTCAAATGTAAAGTGGTGATGTAATGCAATATATAGTTTTTAAATATTAAATTTACCCATCAACAACTTCATTTAGTTGTAAATTTATTAAAATACCTTGTAAAAAGGATTTTTCTCTTTTACTTCACTTCAACCTTTTGACCTTAATTTGTCTACGAAGAATAGAGAGAATTACTCTTTAAAAGTTGTTCAGTAAAATAAATTAGTGGAGAGTGAAGTTGGAATTAATAATGATAAGTGTATTTTGATAAATTTAGCATTTTTATTATCGAAAAGCTTAGAAAAAGGAGGTATTTACACTTTTTTTATGGTTTTTGATAAGATCAAAACCCAAGGGTGATCCCTTTATATAATTGTTATAAGAGGAGGGTTTTTATAATTTTACCCAAACAATAATATAAAACTAATAACAAATCAATAAAAATTAAAAATTTATAATGTTTGAAAAATTGGAAATATCATATTGAATAAATTAAACATAACCCAAAAAATGATGTTTGAAAAATTGGAAATATCATATTGGCTCCTTCCTCGATTTTTCTTAATAAAATCCGTGTATAGCACGGGTCTCGACTGTTTTCAGTCCATTTTTCTCGCAGCCGTTGTACTCCGTACTCTTAAAGAAGGGATATCAGTGCGAGGGCGAGGGTTTAAGGAGATTGAGTGGTTTTAGTCGGCATTTTGAGGAGAAACGAATCAACGAACAAGTAGACAAGCTACCATGTCGAGAAAGAGATCTGTGCTTCGTGCAGTCAAATCTGTTGCAACTACTCTTTCCAAAGTACACTCCTCCTCCCACCTTCAATTGAGCTCTTCCAATGGCTTCGTGGATTCCATTAAAACCCTACCTTTAGTGAAGCAAATCAGCACCAATGCCACCGAAATAGCAGATTTTCAAGCAGAGCACCATGGCACCAGAGAAAGCGCTAACGCTGTTGGTTTTCAGCATAAATTTACTGGGTATGGGTCTTTCAGAGAAACTTCGTTTGATTATCATAGCAGTGCTAATGGGTTTTACGGAGATGGCTCTAGAGAGTTCCAGCAGGGTTCTGATGGGTTTTACAAAGAAACACAAAAGCCTAGGGAGTTTCAGCAGAACCCTAGCTCTGGTGGGTCTCATGGGAGAAATCCTAGCTGGGTTCAGAGCAATGTAAATGAGTACTACGGAGAAAAACCCAGTCATAACTTAGATGGATCTTATAGAGAATGCCCTGGTGGTGTTTACGGGGAAAACCATGGACAGAATCCCAACGGATTTTATAGGGAAAACCCTAGAGAAGAAGAATTTCAGCCGAACCCTGTTGAGCAAAACAAGAACTTCAATGGCTTTTACAGGAAAGACTTTCAACAGTTGGCAACGAATCCTACTGGATTTTATTCAAAGAGTTCTAATACACTTCAGCAAGGCCCAAGTGGATACTACGGACAAAATAATTATCAACAGAATTTACATGGGTCTCGCAGGGAAGATGTTAGAGAAACTCAACAGAAGCCAACCGGGTTTTACCAAGGAAGTCCTTCAACATATCAGGGGAGTGGTGGTCCTTCCTACAGATCAGATTTTGGAGGCTGTCAGCAGGGTCCAAGTGGGTATTACAGACAAAGTGTTGGAGAGCACCAGCAGAGCTCAAGTGGATTTCAAGGAGAAACAACTAATCTTCAAGGGGTTAATAGTTTGAAACCTGAAGGTGGGTCAGTTGAAACTGCTGAAAGTAGTCAGTATAGTGGTACTATTGAGGAATTGGATGATTTATGCAGAGAGGGTAAGATGAAGGGAGCTGTAGAGGTTCTGGGTTTGTTGGAGAAACAACACATTAATGTTGACTTGGAAAGGTACTTGCAGTTGATACAAACATGTGGAGAGTTTAAAGCTCTTCAAGAAGCAAAAGTTGTTCATGAGCATCTCACAAGATCATGGGGGCATGTCAAAGTAAGTATTAATAATAAGATCCTGGAGATGTATTCCAAGTGTGGTTCCATGTCTAATGCATATGAATTATTTGAAAAAATGCAAGAGCGAAATTTGACATCTTGGGACACCATGATTTTCTGGCTTGCAAAAAATGGTCTTGGAGAAGACGCCATTGATATGTTCACTCGGTTCAAGGAAGCAGGATTGAAGCCAGATGGTCAAATGTTTATTGGAGTCTTCTATGCTTGTGGTGTCCTAGGTGACATTGATGAGGGCATGTTGCACTTTGAATCAATGAGTAAAGATTATGGTATCATGCCCTCCATGGACCATTATGTGAGTGTGGTGGAAATGCTGGGAAGTACAGGATATCTGGATGAAGCTATGGAGTTCATAGAAAAGATGCCACTTGAGCCTAGTATAGATGTTTGGGAAACCTTGATGAATCTTTCTAGGGTTCATGGGCACATGGAACTTGGGGATCATTGTGCTGAGCTTGTTGGGCATTTAGATCCCTCTCGCATGACAGATGAATTGAAGGTAGGCCTTGTGCCAATAAAACCTTCTGATCTTGCAGAAGAAAAAGAGAAGAAGAAATTGTCAGCACAGAACCTCCTAGAGGTTAGGAGTAGGGTCCATGAGTATAGGGCAGGAGATACATCCCACCCAGAAAAGGATAAGATTTATGCACTGCTGAAAGGAATGGCCACGCAAATGAGGGAGTCTGGTTATATACCTGAGACTAGGTTCGTGTTGCATGACATAGACCAAGAAAGCAAGGAGGATGCCCTTCTTGCCCACAGTGAGAGACTTGCTGTTGCTTATGGCCTCATTAGCAGTGCAGCTCGTTCCCAAATTCGCATAATCAAGAATCTCCGTGTTTGTGGGGATTGCCATAGTGCATTGAAGATAATGTCAAAGCTCGTTGGCAGGGAATTCATCATCCGAGATGCCAAGCGATTTCATCATTTCAAAGATGGATTATGTTCATGCCGAGATTTTTGGTAAACTTGAAAAGAAAAAAATGAAAAAGAAAAAATTGAGAAAGAAATTTAACTGAGTAATTTATCAAACCAGATTGCAGTTTTTCCTTTTTTTCAAGGAGAAAGTGGGTTCCCATGTGTTATTTTTTGTTCCTCCAGTCTAGGTTGGAATACTTACTGATAAGATGATAATTTTAGTCGTCCTTTCATTAAAGGAGGTTTTTTTTCTTTTTGTTTTTCTTTATCAGCCCTTTCATCAAAGGAGTTGTTTGAATTATTATAGAAACTGACTACTAGTTATAGATTCTTTTTTTTTTTGATGAATGTACTAATTATAGATTCTTATGTGTATGTTCATGATAAGTTGTTGAATATGATTGGGTCTTTTCGAGTTGTAGTTTAGGAAATAGGTATCTAAAGCATCTTGGAGGAGTTATATTCTGCCTGAACAAGGGTTTCTTTTCTGCTTCAATTTCTTATCCTATTTATTACCAAGGTTGAAAACCCGTTTTTCTTTGTAGACAAACATGAATAACATCCACACAATAGATGTTTCATTACAATCAGTAATTTAGTACTCCAAATTCAAGAGAAAACAACATCCCTCGTCATTTGGCATAACCGGAAAATATGCATTATAAATTCCCCCTCCACTAAAAAAATGACTTATCTAAACTTTAGGAGAATGAAAGCTCTGAAATGATGCATACATTAGATTGTGCATTGATATCTGATCATGCTGATTTTTGGTGCAAGCCCTCTCCTAGGTAGGAGTTATCCAGTGGTGGGTCTTTGATGCAAATGCTTATAATAAGATCTTAAACAAGTCTCAAAGATGGAAATTTAAGAAAAAGACTCAAATAATAGACCTGTAAATGCATAATCAACCAGAAAAGAAGTGACTATTTGACCAGTCAAACCTTGTTTGATTTGGCTGAAATTTGTGGCACTTAAGTATGCTTGGAAATTTCAACTCAATCTAACAAGACTAACATGTGGAAGTGCCCCGATAAAAGACTTTAAATTGGCTGATTTTTGCGTTTTGCAAGTTGTGGTCAAAGTTGTAGTTAACAGGACCACTAGATGTCATTTGGGGCCCTCATAACTGTCATTGCTATAAATAGCACTTGTCATTATTACCATTTATAGTAAAAGATGAGGTACTGTTTTTAGTAACTTCTAA